GAGCCGCCGTGGACCCTCCGCGGAACGCCTTCCCGTCCCCGGCCACGCCGCGGCGCCCCTGCCTCGTTGCGCCTTCTGCATCGCCCCGTCAGTAACTTAAACAGTATATATATGTATGTATATATGTGCGTGTACATGTATGTATATATATATGAAGAAGGACGTCGGAAACACGGTCACTGGGACATTTTCTTTGTAAAGACGTCGGATGGAAGTGTACAATTCTGTTTTCTATGCCACCCATAGTATCCAGAATCCCCTTCATTCACAGAAGTCCGATCCCCCCCAGTGGATACAGATCATGTTGGAATACCTCCGCGGTACTCTACAACTTTACCAGTTTGGTTAGAATTCTGTGCCTGCCCTCACATATGACTGATGCATACGTTGGATAAAATTATTTTTAGGAACGCCACTCCTGAAATAGCTGTTACAGAAAGTCAAGCTGGTTTAGACAAGGCAGTGCCACACTCCCTCTCCTTCACCTTTCTGCCTGGGCTGCGTGTTCTCACGTGTCGGCGATGGAGCGGCAGGAGGAAGCTGACGGACAGTATGTTTCACAGGAAGTCACATTTGCTGTTAGATTGTTTGGCTTTTAAATTTTAATTACTTCTTATAGAAGATTGCATTAAAACTTTGTGCTTCTACATAGCAGTTGATCCGTTCAGACTTTTTCTTTCGGAACGGGGAAATCTTCAGACCCTGCCTTCTAGAGCCTGGGCGGAGTGCCAGCCGCGGGGGGTCGTGACGAAACCCTTCGGCTGACTTCCGGTGGCATGTGTGTGATCACCTTGTTTTCCTGTTTCCAGTTCCTCGGTCACCGCGGCGACATTAGTTTTCTGAAATTGTTTGGGGGGAACGCGGGCTGTTTTCCACAGTGCTTAGCCTCCATCTACACTTCCCTTAGGCAAGAAATGTTCTCAGTCATGATATGGAAAATTTCACAAGTGTAATCACTGTATATTTAAGCAATAATTAGCAGAAATATTTTTGGCGCAAGAATTACTTTATAAAGTTCTAACTTGTTTTATAAGTTTGAATAACGTTTCTGTCCCTTGATTTTATATTGTCGATTTGATAATCAGACTGACAGTAGCAAATCTGATAATACTCGACTAAAACTAGAATGCTTGTTGTCTATTTAATGAAGAAAACTGGGGAACACTTAAAATGTATATAGAAATTTCCTCGTCCTTACCTTTTTCCAGAACTACTTCTTTAAGCACTTTTCCTATAAATGCATGTTGTTGGTGACAAGGTGGTGAATCCTAACCGTCTTTTACTCTCGAAAGCGGTGCTACAGGCCCTCAGGAGCAATAAACGTTTCCCAAAGCCACTAAACGTGTGTTTCGCCCAGCACCGCACCTTCCCGCCCTGGGGCCGCCGTCGGCGCGTCTCCTTCATCGTTCCCGTTAGCTCGTCTAAACGGAAATGTCCCTGCCGTTTTGGTCTCGACACGGTGGAGGATTTAGCGCTCTTGTCTTTGTCTTGATTGCAATCCAAGGATCGATTACTTGACACTCAGGGGAAAAGAAAAAAAAACAGACTGTGTAGTGAGAATTGTTTGTTCTTTGAAGCCTGCTTCACCCAGGATGCATTGCACCGGCTTCAGGATCTCCCTAGTACATGTGGTCATAGCTGACTGCTGAGAACAAGGACAGTGAAGTGGCCACAGTCTCCTTTTGCGTCTCAGTGATTCCCAGTGTCAGCATCCTGTAAATACGGCCTTACTGTCTTCGGATGCTATTGGAGATGCTGCATTTTTCTGTTGTGAAGATTTTGCCATGTACAATGAACCAGTGAAAAAGTTTTTATCCATCCTGAGAAAAATGAATTTCCCGGACAAATCGAGCCTCCATTCACACACTTTTTTAGGCTTTCAGCTGCACTCGGTAATAGAAGATGTTAAAAGGACTTTTTAGGCGAGAAGTTGTTCTGTTTGGCCACGAGAATACTGTCTGTTTACATAGCAGTTCACGGTTTTATTTTACATAGAGTTATTAAGTCTGCTAAAGCTATCGAGAAAGGAGGAGGTGCATATTCATGCCTGCGTTGAAATTTTTATCACTTTTTCTCGTGGGATTTGCCTTTGTCCTGGCCAGTGGTGATTTGGGGGTAACTACGCGTAGTATTAAGTGTCACCGTGACGGCGAGGTCATACAGTCGCAAGTCTTTGGTTTGTACTACTCTAATGCGGGTCCATTTAATCTGAGATCTGAAATATTTTATAGTCTTTAAGTCACTATAAAAATTGACACTTTTATTTTGCCAGTTATTTCCAAAATGTGTTGTGATACGTGTCATTTTTGTTCTAAGTTAACACTGACTAGGATAATCTTGTTTCCCTCAAACAGAATAGTCGTGAAAGTGTACATGAAAATATTTTTAAAGAATAAATTTCTTAAGCTAAATTACCATATTTTTGGATTTCCCCCCTTGATAAGCCCTTACTCATTTTTAGAGAAGTTCTTTGAATTTCAGTTATTCCGTTCTGCTGTGTTCTTAGGAATAGACTATATTTAATGTGTTTTCCAGTGCTAAGTACTTTCTGGTTGTTCCTGGGTATATCGTACTTGAAAACGATAGTTGCTAATACAGTCTTATAGATGCTGATGTCCAGAACGGTTAACTGCGTTAGTCTGGGTCCGAGGGTAGAAACACCTAAAGAAGAACCTCGATTTATACTTTTTTTCTGTATTTAGAAACGAGGTATTAGAGGGACACTAAATCAGTTGCTGTGATCCCCTGCCTTATAATGAACTGGACAAGAGAAAGTCGTCGCTGAAACTGGGCACATTAAACAAGTTCACAAATGTAGGCCTTTTCAGAAAAAAAAAAAAAAAAGAAGAGAAATGAAGATTTAATCTCGACTAAGGATGGAACGGGCAGAGAGGGCCGGCAGGCACGAGGCCCCGCCCTGGGAGGCTGCTGTGTCACTTGCGGGTCACTGTCGCTGAGTGACCGAGGCCCGGGCCCCAGCATCCTCTGCTGTAGTGAGTGGGGAGCAGAACCTCAGCTCTCACTGCGACACTGGACCAAGAGCTTCGTTCTGTCTGGCTTCGTTTCTTCTCTGTCTGGGAAGCGAAGGCCTTGCCCTGTTTCTGATTCTGGAGTTTCCAAGTGAGCCCGGTCGGTATTATACTTAAGAGACGTAGTAGTAAATTTTACAGATTTATGTTTGAATCCTTTTGATTTATTTAGAAACACATTTTCTCGGGGAGGGGAGAGAGCCTCTCTAAAATAGCCTTAACACAGAGAGAGCGTTAGACCTAATTTTGTAAATGCAGTTCAGATAGCTCCTGAGAAGTAAACTCAACATGTGGAAATTCATTATCACAAAATGTGAAACAGCAAATCTTCGTCACACATCTCTGTGCCCCTGCCGCCAACCGTGGCAGGGAGGAAGAGAAAATGAAAGGTTAAGACGACATTATGTCCCCAAATCGTTTACAGTTACAGATGCCAAACAAGATACATTCAGTCCCCAGGGAGCGTGCAGAGAACGTTCATGATCGTTCACGACAGGGAAGCTACGACTGGACACTCGGGCACACCCAGAAAGGCCACTTGGTCTGGAGTAGGTTGCATAGAGTTCCCGCCACCTGTGATGTATATAAAACAGTCGATTTCTGTAATCTTGACCTTGCCGCGTTCAGCTCTGTTAGAAACGGTCAGTTGGAACAATTCCTGATTATTCTAAAGGTTCCATTTTGATGGCATCGGCCCTCATCTCTGGCTTTCAGGCCATCTCACTACAAGAGTAGTTAAAAATAGCACCCGGAGGGATTAGGGTTCTAAGGCATTAATCTACATTGACTCAGGTGAGTAATGCAACTTTTAGGTTATGGAGATGAAACATACGAGGTCCAATATGTTACTGTATTTTTTAAAACTTCATTCACTAACGGTTTTCCATTGCAATTGCTTTCAAAAATAGAGTCTCAAATATTTTTTAAGTTATGGGCATGCTACCTTTAACCCTGTAAACAAGGTTCAAACTTTCCCATTTAAATGCATACTTGTAGCTCTAAGCCGGTGGCAGCAGATGGCAGCAGTGTACAGCACAAGGCTTAAATTGCTCTTTGTTTTGCTGTAAGTTTACTTATAATCCCTTTCGGACAGCTGGGCATTTTAGGATTCAGAGTTTTCCTCTTCTTGAAAAAGCACAACATAAGTGCTTATAAGTTACACACGGCCCTCTGCGGGCTGGGGCAGCAGCCGGCACGCCACTGCAGTGCCGCCGGAGTCAGGTGTCCCTGTGGCCACGGCAAGCTTTACGTGGTTCAGGTCGGGTCTCTCACAAGCAGGAAAAAGTAGATTTTCAGACTCTTTGGATCTCAAAATTGCTAATAAGGAACCTGAAATAAGAAAACTGCTCTCAGATCTCATAATTTTCTAATAAATGTCATGTTTTCCTCTCATAGTTTTGGCAGAGTTAACTGAGGGCTCTCTGTGAAATCTGC